AATTACCACTTTTTTGAGTTCCCAAAAGAATCCGTAGTGAGATATTACCTCGAAATGTGTAAATCATGAATTCAATTTATGATATCACCAGTTCGTCCAAGTAGTTGACCAGAATTTCGGGTAGTTATAACTGATTCACCTCTCTGAATTGATATTTAAATGCTGGTTTGCAGGAATTCGACTAGTTATAGGATTTCATCATACGCTGACGTCAGCTAGAGAGTCATTGGAACACCAGTACTGGAGTGCTAGACAGCTGTTTCGTACCAATTTGCATCACTATGCATCCACCGCGAGGGTTCGAACCAAGGACCATCGGGCTTACAAGATGACCTTGTAGACCATTTACCCCCTGTACGTCAGTGGCACAACGTTTAGCACTCTCCTCGATCATGGACATGGTCCACAGTGCGATCCTCTGCCAACGCACACCTGATATCTATGGTCAGGCTGTAAAATTTGAGCTACCGATTTCACATGCTGCAAATTCCATACATGTACCAAAAATACGGTGTGGAATCAAGCCGTAATAAAAAATCTCAATGACCAGCCCAAGAATTCCAATTTCTGCCTATTCACGCACGTTATAGTGCTGACATTAGCGACAGTGACATCAGTGGCGAGTATCTGTCCCCACACGTGATCTGCTGTACCCCACCGGTGATGATTTACTATTAGAAATCCAAATAACTAACTATCTGAATAGGGCTCATTAGCTAGTGAGCATCAGACGGATATATAATATTAACTAACCTTTTGCATGACTTCGTGTGTCCTCCCTCAAAAACAGTACACAGACGAAGTGTCAATTTCTGTGTCTTTGGATGAATACTCTTCGTTTATTGCAAAAGTAGTTATGAAAAACATAGAAAGAGACAAAAAAAGTGTACTCGACATCATCATCAGCAATCTTGTTTTAGTTATCATCAACTATGCATGTTGTCATTTTACTTATTTATATATTGAATTTTTTTGAGGGAATATAAATATACTATTTTAGTAGCAGTATTAGTAGTATTTGTAGTAGTAGTAGTAGTAGTGTTAGTAATGTATTGTGTATATTGTGTAGTTTTTCGTAAGAATATACATTTTAAAGTTTATATTTCCGTCATAATTCTGGAAATTATTAGTATACATGTTTTTTTACCTATCAGAATGTAAAAGAAAACAGAATAGCGTTCATTCAATATATATTCGTTTTATCATCTGTAATCTGTGTATACATTTATACAGACTCAAGTCATATTGATAGTTATCATTTCTGTTATTTATCGTTATTGTTCCAAAAGAATGGTCTGGAATGATACTTATCAGCTTGAATGTCTGTCAGTCTTACTTATTCGTATAAGAACTACACACGAATGCCTGAGTGATGACTGAAAGTGAAGAGTTGCGTCAGAATTCCAATTAGAAGTTTGTAGGTGGTACCCTGCCAATTTGAACTAATCTAGGTAGTCTCATGAACCTTCTTTAAGAAAGGTATTATTTATTATTATATTACTGTTCCTTTGGGTTCCTAGTTGAAAATAGGGCTTCAACTGCACGTCTCCACTTGCCACTTCTGTCTTCCTTCTGCTCTACTTTTCACCTGCATCCATTTTAGTCCATAATGCTTCAACTCCTCGTCACATGATCTCCTCCATGTCACCCTTGCACTGACGTCCCACTCGCCGCTTGCTTCCCTCTCAGCCTGGTTCCACTCGAGCAATGGCCTGACGCTCGCGCGATGTCACCCAGCACGATGTCTCCTCAGCGAGCGAGTGTCCAATCCATCTCCACTTTCTCCTGCATATTTGTTGGTTGGCGATTGGTTGGTTCTTATTTTGTTTGTCGCCATAGTTTTCCATAGTTGGTGATTCTTTCCAGCCCGGACATCTGATCTTCAGTGTAGAGCGAAGACAGTTGTTGATGAAGGTCTGCAACAGGCTGTTGGAAATATTCTTTGTGACCCGCCCGCCAACTTTCTGATCCGTATAGAAGAACTGACCTACTTGACGTCTGTATTGAAAATCCGATCGAATTTTGTTGTTGGTACTGAGTGACGAAGACTTCGAGATTGGTTTTAGGTTGATGAATATGTTTCTCGCCTTCCCGATTCTCGATTTCTAGAAGGGTATGATTTAGGTTAATAGGAGGTCTAAGTAGGCGCAACTAGTGAGATGGTCAGTGCTCAATTACGTATCACCCTGTCATATAAGAGTTAAGTGTGTTACTCACATTGGGTGATGCGAGAAGATTCTAGAACAAGTGGTTTTCATGGATGATTTATTTTTAATGTCATACAAATCAGAATAACTACGGATGAAAATTGGAAAGTTGGCAGGAGAGGCGGGGAAGACAGAGCTTCAGGTGAACATAGAGATAACAGGGGTGTTTAAGATAACAAACCAACCAACCAACAGCAACAACAAGAACCAAACACTATCAATGGAAGAAATTTAGACGAGATCAATAATTCCACTGATTTCGACAGCTTCGTTTTAACTACATATAGTGACATGATTGAAGTAGTCAAAGGTAGACGAGAATATGAAAGACGAGATACGCCTTCATAATTCTTAAATGAATGTAGAAATCTGCGGCATTCATCGAAAGGAACAAAATCCATATTTTCAAAACTAATGTTACGGTTCACAGACTTGACACGTCACCAATTGCATCTTTGATAGTCTGCTGTGGACTTTCACCAGCAGCTTATTCCCTTCGATTGATATCTGGGAGCAGATGGCTGGCCAGAGAGGACAATCGACAAGTAACTCAGGAAAGATACCAGACAAGAAGCTATTGAAAATGCTGTGGGAAAACCAATAAGTGACTTTATGTTTCATACCCTGGTGTAAAACTATAACAAGAAGTGACTCGCGGGATGTCTAAGTGTGACGTGGAAAAGATCACGGGAGAAGAAAATACAAGAGTTTTACTTGACGCCCACCTTCCACTCTTAGCCTAACAAAATTATGAAAGGTTTGAATGCCAGCCACTTTGATTCCTGCCCGCCTTGTTAAGAATTCTGCGTAAAGTTTCTGAGGTTCCTTCCTTGTATGGAATTACTACTGATCATTTAGATTCCTTATTGTTGCTGCTGTCGTTATTTTGTGCATGTTTGACTTGCATGTCGTTATCAATACTATTATTATTAATTTTATTTTTACATTTCCCTACATATTTGCTGAATAATTTACCACGGTAATCATTAAGTTTCAAAAATGAGTTTGTTTTTCACTGCCTGTATAGTCCCATCTATTGGTATACGTGTATATAAACTGAAAATGCCACTTAGGAATTGGAAAGTCAGGAAAGGCGAGCTTTCAATGTTAGATTCCGGCGTAATAATGAAAGAAGATGGGAAGTTAAACACTAGTGCTTACAGGAAACCCACCCATTCAAAAAGATATTTGGACTTCCGATCATCCCATCCTATGTCAGTAAAAAAAGGATTGGTGGAATATTTAAGTGATAGAGCATTAATACTAAGTAGTACCAAGGAAAATCTAAGACAGGAAGTGATACATAGAAGAGAAGCCTTGAAACTTAATAATTATCCTGGATAAATTATTCAGGAAACATGTAGGGAAATGTTAAAATAAAATTGATAATGATACTATTCATAATAATGATAACCTGCTAGTCAAACATGCACAAGACTATGACAACACCAACAATAGGGAATCTAAATCATCACTAGTAATTCCCTACAACGAGGGAACCTCAGAAACCTTATGCAGAATTCCTAACAAGGCAGGAATAAAACAGGCTGGCATTCAGACCCATAGACTCAATTAGAAACAAGCTTTGTCGGTTCAACGATCAGTCGTGTGGAGCCAATAAAACAAAACAACTCAGTCTATCTAATACCCTGCCTGAGATGACTGTCAGGTCAAATACAGAGGTCGGAGTAGTTGAACAGGGTCAGTAAGTCTGACTAGTCGATTATAAAACCCAGCAAAACCTAGATTGGTTGACCCGAATAACATAAGAAATCTGGAGAATAGTTCGGCCATAGCATTTCATGCAGTCACACACGACCACACAATAGGCTGGATGGGATAGGATGACAGTTTTAAAATCTAATGTCACACGGTGGAGGAAGAGATTGATAACAGAAGCTTTGTTTATCGAATAAACTGATGAGAACAGGTGTCATAGGAATGATTCAGCACCTGTCCGATCGAACACCTGAAAAATTCAACTACCCCTACGACGACAAATAGGAGAGAACAAATAGAACTATAAAACTCAAGTTTCCAAGTCATGTGATTATAATTGGTGAGATGATTGTGAACATTAAACTTTTTTCAATACCTTGTCATCCAGTAAATAATACTGTTTCATTGACTGTGATACATTTAATAAACCAACTACTATGGAATTACTAAGGATAGAAAGTCTTTTAAAGCCGTTGTTCAATAACCTCAGCGGCTAACTCCTCTGACCTATGGCTTAATCGTTGGAATAACACACGAAATTTGTTGATGTAGTCGTGAATCGCTATTTCGACACGTGCACTGATGTATTCGATATGTTTTCAACCATAGCACAAATTCTTGTAGTCTGTATTTCATAGGCGGCTTTTCTGAAATTGATATTGAATATAACTCCTGCTGAAAGCTTCTACAGTCCTTTGAATTAAGAAAGGGTAGAATCCAGGCGGTATCATAAGTTATAGCCATACTCCAAACTTGAGTACCATCTAACCAGTTAACGTATTCGCCTACTCTATGAGACTCAAATCGACTGGGACGAAAGTATATTGGGAAAAAAAGCCTTATTTTTGCTTCATATTTCTAAGGAAACTTCACAGTTGTCTACTTTAAATCTCCACCACAGTTGAACAGTTTTGTTTCTGTGCAACTTCCCTTCCTATTGGTCATGAATTACAAACACCCACCTATCCACGATAAGGTCCTACTGAAATGAGTGTTCTTTGTACTCTTGGCCTCTATTTTTACGCTCTTCTCCTCATCTCTCAGTCTGACTTTTTATTGAATATATATATTTAGGCATAGGAAAAACATCAGTGCAACGATACTGGATGGGTGTTCGTCATCGAATTCGAAGCCATTGACAACTCCCTCCCCCCGCGAAATAGTAGTCTGTTCATTAGTGGCTAACTACGGTATGGATAACTCAAGATTCTAGTGACAAATTGTGAGCAGTTGGGTTGACTAATTCAAGTTAAGTGTGAGAACAGATACTAGTCAGTGACACTGAATAATCACCAAGGCGATATAATCTTTTCCAGAACTGATATGTCATTGGCTAGCTTCACAACTTGAATGCCCTGGATTCGAGTCCTGATATGATCATGGGTGAGTTATACTGAAGGCTCCTAAACTAGATTTTAAGGATTCTTCAATTAGTTTCAGTTTATGATCTAATCACCTACCATTCACAATTTTCTATTTTGCAATTTAATTTAATCTATCCTCCTTTTGTTTTTGTTTTTTTAATTCTTCAGAGTTCATTAAACATACGTAAATTAAACATTTTACAAAACCATAAACAATACAGTTACTCAGTTCCCTACCTAACTAGCCTATCTATCCACTTATCTACCTACCTACTCATCAACCTATACGTGATCTACTTTTAAACTATAATCAATCAATCAACCGATCGATCAATCAATCAATCAGTCTCTCATTTGTATTTAACATAATCACACTTTTTCTCTGTGTATTGTGATATATATATATACATATGCATATACATATACATATACATATATTCTTTCTATCAATTCAACTGTGAATTTCTTTTCCTGACCACTTACTTTCTTGATTGATATCTACTTCTTCTTCTTTCTTATTTTTTTTTTTGTGATTTGATCATAATTAAATTCACAAATGAGAAGTTCAGGTCGACAGACACTTCTGTGAAAAGCTTCTCAAGTGTGGTCCATTTCTGAAATTACGACTGTTTCGATTGTCGTTTGTATTTCTGACTACAACAATAACATGAACAACTACTACTACTACGACTGAAGACAACGGAGCAGCGTAAAAACCAAAACAAAATATGGAAATTTCTTTTCATGTGTTCTTTTTTTTCTCTATTGTCACCATCATCACCACCACCACCACGATCATCACTATTTTGAACAATGTACAACTGCTCAATGTATTTGGTTTATCTTCAAATGTATAAAACAAACAGTACATATATAATAATAATCATGTTTTGAAATCCATAGTTCTCACCGCGTGTTTTCCCCCAACCTTAAACTTGTCTCATGAAGCATCAGCCAAATATCTTTTCGATCTAAAATCACGTAAGCACGGATACGTTAACTGTTTAACTGTGATTTCTAATTCCTAGAGGAACATAGGGCTTCAGTGGCAGGTTTCTAGCGCGTTCGATTCTCTGCTAACGTTTTCATCTGGCTCCATGTTTGTTCACATGCTTTCGTCTCCTCTTCACATGACTTCCCCCCGCATGTCACCCTTGCACTGACAGTCAGCTCATCGCTTCCCACTGGGGTTACACTCGAACAATGGCCTGATGCGCGCGCGATTTCACTCGCCGCGATGCCTCCTCAGCGAGCGAGTATCCAATCCATCTCCACTTTCTCCTGCATATTTGTTGGTTGGCGATTGGTTGGTTCTTATTTTGTTTGTCCCCATAGTTTCCCATAGTTGGTGATTCTCTCCGGCCCGCCCATCTTATCTGCAGTATAGATCCACCGAAGACAGTCGTTGGTTGATAAAGGTCTGCAACAATCTGTTGGAAATATTCTTTGTGACCCGCCCGCCAACTTTCTGATCCGTATAGAAGAACTGACTGACTTCACGTTGTTTGTATTGAAAATCCATCTGAATTTTGTTGTTGATGCTGGCTGAGTGACGAAGATTTCCAGATTGGTTTCAGGTTAATTAATGTGTGTGTTTCTCGCCTTCCCGATTCTCGCTCGATTTGACATTCTCGTCCGTTCCTCCTCTAGTCGAGACAATGCTCCATAGATAAGTGAATGAAGTAACCTCTTTCAAATCTCTCCCGTTGATGGTGATTGACGCTGGATGTTGCTGCTGTTGTTGATGTTGTTGGTTGGTTATTTTCATAACCTCAGTCTTGTGGAACCCAGAATACTGTTATAACTATATAACAAATAACTCGACATCAACGCAAGCGGTATTAAAAGACGGACTGTAAGTCTAAGATTTATTGACCAACCAAGTATAAATCAATATAGCAGGTTAATTACACAGCCGCTTTACCATTTGGCTCACGGTTGATTTCTATCACTAAACTAAAACGTTTCTGATCTTATTGTGCAGTCTTCTGTTAATGAGCAAACGTCTAAGCCACGGTAGGAATGGCCATCATCAACTAAAACAGTCAAACTGATTCGAATTAAAAAAGTTTGTTAAACGTCTACAGAAAGTTTAAGAATGCACAAGCCGGAAATTGAAAGAAAGACCACGTTAGTAGTTAGCGAGCATTCTACCTGTGAAACACCAACGAAAATCGATCTAAAAATATGATGTTCTACATTTTGGCTAGAAACAAAGCTTAACTTAAAAACAGCAGAACACAAAAGTTGGTTACGCAACCGCGAAGAATACTTTCGCTTTGTGTTCTACAGTCGGAAGGAAAGTCTGTGTTAACACAATATGTGGTTTAATGAAGTTCACCCAGAATTCGTATACCTATACAGTGAAGAAGAGTAAATACTACGTTAATAACTTACCGGTAAACTTTACACTACACACTGAGGAGCAGAAAAGTGGGATAAATCAGAATCTGCTAACATAGCCGAACTAGTCAGTATATTATTAGTGTTTCCTTTAGTTCCCAAAGGAACATAGGGGGCTTCAGTCGCACGTCTCCATTGCGTTAGGTTCACTGCTAACGTTTTCACATGGCTCCATTTCTGCCCACATGCTTTCATCTCCACTTCACATAATTTTTTCCTGCATGTCACCTTCGCATTGAAGATCAACTCGTCGCTTACCATTCGTATTCCACTCGAACAATTGTATTGCGTGTGATTTCACTTGATGATGGTTTGTTTTCTCAGAGTATAGCCAAACCACTTCCATTTCTTCCTGCATATTTGTTGCGCAATCAGTTCCTAGTTGATTCGCTCCCTGATATCTCTCGCTGTTGCTGATATTTTCTGACTGGCCATCTGATCTTGAGCGAACGAAGTATTGAGAGAAGACAGTTGTTGATAAAGGCCTGTAGTTTTTTTTCAAAGTGTTCTTTGTGACGCGCTGGTCAAGTCTCTGATTCATAAAGAAACACTGATTTCACCTTGGGGGTATGGTTGATGTTTACCTCACACTGAGAACACCATCATGAATATTCTTGGATAGGTGGGACAACATGGCGATGGAAACGTTCAGCCCCCACCAAAAAGGTACGGTGGAGGTATGTAGATGACACGTTCACTGCACTTAGAACAAAAGATATAGATAGATTTTTCGAACACATTAACTCAAAGGTGCAGGCAATTCAATTCTCTTATGAATTGAAAAGTGAGTAAAAGGAGCTTTCAATGTTAGATTGCAACGTAAAAAAAGATAAAAGATGGGAAGTTAAACACTAGTGTTTACAGGAAACCCACACATTCAAACAGATATTTGGACTTCCGATCATCCCATCCTATGTCAGTAAAAATAGGATTGTTGAAATGTTTAAGTGACAGAGCACAAAAACTAAGTAGTACGAAGGAAAATCTAAGACAAGAAGTGAGGCATATAAGAGAAGTCGTGAAACTTAATAAACACCCTGACACAATAGTCAGGAAATATGTAGGGAAATGTGAAAATAAAATAAATAATGATAGTAGGGATAGTGATAATAATAATAGTAATATTAATGACGACATGCAAGTCAAACATGCACAAGATAACGACAACACCAACAATAGGGAATCTAAATCATCAGTAGTAATTCTATACAAGGAAGGAACCTCAGAAACATTACGCAGAATTCTAAGCAAGGGAGGAATGAAAGTGGCTGCCATCCACACACCCACAAAGTCAATTAGTAGCAAGCTTTGTCGGTTCAAGAATCAATCCTGTGGAGTCAGTAATGCAAAACAATATAGTTTTTTCTAATACCCTGCCATAGATGATTGTCAGGTCAAATACTTGGGTCAAACTAGTAGAACATGGTCAGTGGCTCAGACTAGCTGAACATAAATACCCAGCAAAATCTAGATTGGTTGACCCGAATAAGGTGTGAAATCTAAAGAATAGTACAGCTAGAGCACTACATGCAATCACGCACAACCATATAATAGGCTCTATGAGATAGGATGGCAGTTCTAAAATCTAATGTCACAGGGTGGAGGGAGCGATTTATAACTGAAGCTTTGTTTATCAAACCAACTTCAAAGAAGTGTAATAGGAATGATATCTGGAAAATTCTACTACCTCTACAACACATAGGAGAAAGCAAAGAAAAGTATAAAACTCAAGTTTCAAAGTCGTGTGATTATAATTGGTGAGATGATTATGAACAGTAAACGAAACTGTGTCATCCAGTAAATAATACTGTTTCACTGTGTGATATATCAAATAAACAATTTAATATGAAATTATTTACTATCACAGTGGCCAAGTTTTACACATATATTAAGAGAACAACATCACTCATAAAGAAAGCAAGTCACTGTGGTACATGATTCCCAGATTAGACGAAGCTCACATTCTGGAGTCCCATCAGATAAAAAAATAAATACAGCTAAATTAAAATGATTATTGGTGCACTGCCTGGTGAATGCAAAGAGATCCTTGTTGGCCATCTGAGCCACAAATCTTATTCATCATTTCTTTGATGCATTCTAACAGATGCCTTAAACACTGAAATATATACCCTGATTAAACGCTCCGTAGTACACGGTTGAAGGTAACTGGCAAGAAACCTCGCACCCAGGTTTCGTCACCTAGGCATATCTGCAACTCTGACGGAAGTCATGAGTTCTCTTCTACCGATTGCCTTCAACACTCTAATAACACAGAGTATGGATGAATAACAGAAAGAATTGTAGGAAGGTAGACACTCATACTATCCATATTGTTCGTCAGAATAGATGGAGTCCAAAGGGTTCAAGTATTAGAAGAAAACAACCACATATCACACTTGGATTCTCAATAACTCAATTCGAACTATCATTTGGCGATTCGGTATACCGCTGAAATGAAATGCAATATATTCACACACATATCCATCTGTGTAAATATCTCAAGATTTTATCAGAATTCATTGATTTAATGTACAGAATACAAAAGGAAGCATAAATTTAACCTGCAATGACATATTAGAATTGAAAACCTCTAAATTACCTCAATAAAACAAACGCAGTCATTATGGTGATATTTCCATACTTGTTTTGAAAATGCATAAAAGTACACAGTGGTCATAGATCATCCATCATCCATCCATGGAAGAAGTCACTTGGTGAACACATCAGAGGCACACCACACACACAGACACAAGATAAGTGGTATGATAACGATATTTCTTCAGATCGATACAACTTATTCGGCTAACAGTATGCGAATGGGCATGTGTGTGTATGTGTATGTGTGTAGGTGGGTGGTCGTCGAGATGATGCTATCACACAGGAATTAAATTACATTTTTCCACTGAATGCCTCCACTGACTTATTGTCATAACATGAGTGGACAATCAGACATTCAAATAAATCGTATTTCAGTAATACAGAGAATAGTCAGACAGTTTTCTATTGACCGAGATTTCCTGTAGATTTGGCTAGCTGCCTGAAGTCATTCGACTTCCGAAATATCTAAGGAGCAGATAATGGTCATGGATATATCAGTATGTTTTCCTTTACTGTCTGTTCATTGTTGGCTTGTTTTCCTATGCTTTAAGTTGATTCCTCATCGTCTTTTTACAAAATATTTGTATCTTGAGAGATTTGTCCTTTTCAGCATTCACGTGAAAGTGTGCATGCAATGTTTCGAAGTCTTAAATAAAATGCCTTTTAGTTTACCACGTAAAACTAACTGAAACAAATGGCCCAGTGGTGGGGTGCTGACATTGTACTCCGTTCTCTGACATGATTGTCGACTGGTGCCACCCTCTCCAACAAGCTTTCATCTCTTCTTGGGCATCATCTTCTCTGTGTTATGCACTGAACCACAGGTAACTCGTCGCTTCTCACTTGAATTCCACTTGACCACATGTCTTGTAATATAACCTGAATTTATGTCTCAGTGTATTTCCAATCAACCTGTAGTTGAACAAAGTAAGGAGAAACATTGGGGTAGAATAATCCGGATGCATTTTACGTCGTT